TTTTTCTCTTTATTCAGCCCAAATTTGCTCTCCAGAGCCAGTTTCTCTCCCACTCTCTTACTTTTTGGAATAAACTTGGCCACTGCTTTTTGCTTGTTTCATCCAATTCTTTTTTTTTTTAATTCATTAATTTTATTGGTACATTTTAGGTATACAATATGATGACATTCATCATTGGGAATTTGTACCTTTACATTAATGTATCTTGGTTCTTATTTTTTTTTTCCCTTTCCCCACCCTCCCTTCAGCCCCTCCTCTCCTCCCTATTTACAGATTCTGTTTCCATTTTTTCATTTTCTCATATTCCGTTCCCTTCTTTCCTTTCTCCTGCCCCTCCCACTTCCCCTTCTCCTTTGTCCTTTTTCTTCCTGTTTCACATTATCTGTTAAACATTTTGGTTCTTATTTACACTTTCAGTTTCTCACACCAAAGAAACTATTCTGTATTTACACATGTGTCCTATTTATTTCACTTAGACTCAATGTGTATCCTTTTAGCTATAATGTCTCTAGTTGGTCATTCTTCATAGCTAAATAGTGCTCCATTTTATATATAAAAAAAAAACTCCACATCTTCTTTATCCAGTCTCCAGTTGATGGGCAATTGAGCTGCTTCCAAGTTTTAGCTATTACAAAATGTATCTCTATAAACATGGGTGAGCGTATATCACTGTGGCATGATTCTTTTAATTCTTTTGGGAAGATAACCAGAAGGGGAATAGCTGGGTCAAATGGGACCTCTAATCCTAGTTCTTTGAGGTATCTCCATACTAACTTCCACAGTGGTTTCACCAGTCTACATTCCCACCAGCAGTGGAGTAGGGTTCCTCTTTCCCCACAGCCCTGCCAGCATTTGTTATTAGTTAACTTCATGATAGGAGCCATTCTTTCTGGGGTGAGGTAGAATCTCAGTGTTGTTTTCATTTGCATCTCTGGAATGACCAGTGATGTTAAACATTTTTTCTTATGTTTATTTGCTGCTTCTACTTTGTCTGAGAAATATCTCTTCATTTCAGATGCTCATTTTTGGATTGAGTCTTTAAATTTGGGAGGTCTGATTTTTTAAAATTGTTTATATATAGTAGACCTTTGTCTGAGGAACAGCTGGTGAAAACTTTTTCCCACGTTGTGGGTATTCTCTTCACTCTGTTGGTGGTTTCTCTTGCTGTGTAGAAGCTTTTTAATAAAATGAGATCCCAGTTGTTGATTCTTTGTGCTAGTTCATGTGCACTGAGACTTTGTTCATGAAATCTTTTCCTACTCCAATGTCTTCAAGAGTTCTACCTAACTTATCTTCCAGCTGGTTTAGTGTTTCTTTTTTAATGTTTAGATCTTTGATTCATTTCAATTTTAGTTTAGTGAATGGTGAGAGATATAGGTCTTGTTTTAATCTTTGGCAATCTTAAACCTTATTTTCCTGAAATAATACAGAAGAGAGAACTTGAAGGCTGTGTATAGAAGCCTCAGACTTCAATTGACCAACTTGAATTACAACCAGCCTTCATGAGTCAACTGAGTTTGTAAGTCAAGGGTCCACTGTAGGTTCCAGGTTCTTCTTACTTTGGATAAAAACTTCAATGAGTTTAATTTTCAGAGAAAACACAGGTTAGATCTAGAAGAAGAAAAAGAAACATTTTCCAGTAATATTTTGGTAGACTATTTTTTCTTATTTTGGCTTTCATGCTGGTGTTATTATGTAAGACAGTGTTACTTCTTTCTAACCAAATCTTACACCAGAAATTGCATGTCTTTTAAAAGAATGTTCTAGAAGAAAGAAAACTGCTTTGTTAGGCCTATGACACAGAATGCTTTTTCAGAAAATGAACTGCTTAGAATTATGATTTTTATTCTTGCAAAAGTGTTTCATAATTCCATCCATAGACAGGGAGATTTTATTTTTTAATTTGAAAGAAACCCACAAGCTATTAAATAGTATAGGTATTTTGTTTACTTATATGTATCTAAATGTTACTCTTGGTTGGTTGATTCCTTAGTACATGTTTATGGTAGCTTACCTGATATATTTGAGAAAGATCCCCAAATGGAATTTTGTTTTCTGCAACATTTGTTTTTTCTCTTATAAAGGTCAAAGTGTTTGTTTATTTGCGGTGATCACCAGCTTTTCTATGGAAACAGCTGATATTTTAAAATTCTATAATTACTATAAACACAGTGTAACACCTCTTTAATAATCATACTGTAAATAATAACTATTTGGATTAAAAAATTTTAATGTACTGAATAATGATTTATCCATATAATATTCTGTGAGTTTAGACTATTTTACAAATGTATGAATACATGAGACTGAGAATTTCTGTATGTTGTTGATCAACATCCCTTAAAATCAATATTTTCTTCTTTTTTATAGGAATTCTTTAAGAATCTTACATGACAGTTGAATAGCAAGGAAAATGCTTTACCAAAGTAGTCATTCCTCTTTTTCTGAGAATTTATAAAGTTATAGAATATGTAGCTCACATTTTAAAATTTCTATAGAAAACCGATAACATAATATTTTCTAAGAACAGGATCACATTCCCCATGAATTTAAAGCATCTGGTTTTGATTTTATTATTTATTCATTTACTTATTTACTTTTGTGATGCTGGAGATTGAGCCCAAGGTCCTGCTCATGCTAGGCAAGCTCTTTACAGCTGAGCTACACTCTCAGCCATGGCTTTCACTTTTATTTCAAATATTTTATTTGTGTTTGTATGTCCTTACATTTGACTATATTGAGCTAAGAAGCTTTGTAAAATTAAATCGACACAATCACTGCTCTTAATAAGTTTACATACTGAAATGATTTAGTGTGGTTTGTCTTAGTTGAGTCCTCTTAATTTTTGTCAAGATTTCTATTGTCTGGGTTAACTTTTTTCATCAGAAAAGTGATGACAAGGACAAGTCTTAATTTTATTCTAAATATAAATAGATTTGCTTTATGCAATTCTATTACCCCAAACTATAATGTAACCATGGTCAGCGATGCCATCAATTGACAAATCTATTAACAGAGCCTTACTGAAGGGCTATTACCACATGTCCAGAATTGAGGCAGTTTCCATAGGCATGAATACAATTCTCAGTCAATGCTAAAAGAGACAAAGAAGGTAAGAAGGCAAGTGTAAGAGACCATTTAGCAAGACTAACACTGTATTACAACTGAGAAAGAAATTTAAAACAATGGGTTAGAAATTCTACCTTTGTTATATGACAGCTTGTTAACTCTTATACGTAATTCTTTTCAAGTGGTAACATCTGCACTATATAATGATTTGCATTAAGAAAAGCAGAGCATTGGAAATTTGCCAATGAATAGAGAAAGGAAGGCAACACACTTTGGACAAATTTGGTTCCACTAGAAGATTTTCCTATTTCACCTATATTCTGTTTCTTTTACATATAAATAAGAATGATTGTAGAGTTATCATCTTCATGGGAACAATATCAGTAATATTTGCCCTTGCTGTTGCCATCTACTATATATTTTGAAAAAAATTTACAGTGATGATAGGAAAAAACTTATAAGCTTCTCCCCCCCACCTCTACCTTTCTCTCTCTCTCAATGTAATCACCTTCTCCATCTGAAACAAATTAACTCCTGGGGAGGAGATGTTCCAAGAGCTTTCACATGGTCGTTTCCAAGGAAACAGCTTCTATTGTCCACATATGTCCTGCAGTTCAGACAGCAGATTGCTTTTCATCATCAGACAAGGGCCTAGAGAAGCCGAATAGTTTATATATACTTTGTGAGTGTTAAAAACAAAGTAATAATCCTAATGTAATCAATATTGGATTACTCTGTGTGTGTGTGTGTGTGTGTGTGTGTGTATACACTTTTAAATCTTAATCTATTGGGTTGGGTTGTGGAAAATGCAGGCTATTGGCTGAGTTTGGAAATACTATCTTCTCTGTTGTATATAAAAATAAAATGGCTTCACTTGAGGAACCTCGTCAAAACTGGGCATGTAGCATCCTTCAGTCTTGTGGAGCCCTCTACTGGAAAACTGTATCAAACTCAGAAAGATAGTATCTTTTTTCTAAAATATATTCCTCATTATTATTTAACTTTCTTCTTTGATAAATTTTGAAAGTTTGTCTTTATTTTGCAAGTTTTGAATTATTTTATCTAAATAGTTCCTCGTGTTGCTGCTGTTTTTTCTATTTGGAGAAAACAGTGTTTGTAAAAGGTAATTGATCCAATTCTTCCATGTGAAGTAAAATATTCTAATTTCATCCTTTTAATCTGAAGATTTGAGCAAATTTTTTTTTGACTGGGATTGCCTTTAATCTAGAGAATTGAGTTAATTTGTTTTGATTAGGAATGCCTCCAAAAACAAGCAAAATTGAAATTCTTTATGTATTTTATAGTTAATTATTCGGGGTTATTGCTTTTTACTATATACAAATATATGAGAAGCACTGAATAAGAAGAAGGGATCATAACATTTTTAATATGTCATAATAAAAATTCAAGTGTTACAATCAGCATTGTATTGCTTCAAGCAAAGAAAAACTACAATGTTCTCCATGTAAAGAATAGCAACAGGGGAAAGTTTGAAATTCAGAATGAAGATTAAAATCAAATTAAAGAATAATTTTCTGAGTATGAAAAACCTTAAAAGAACATTTTAGTTTAGAAAATGTCTTACCATGGATAGGTTATGCTATATTAACTATTATATCAGTCAGTGTTTACTAGAGAAAGTCTTAATGCAATTTATGCAAATATATAAGAATTAACAAGAAGAAACAGTCTTAATGCAATTTATACAAATTTATAAAAATTAACAAGATTAGGGCCCAAGGATTTAGCTCAGTGGCACTGCACTTGCCTTGCAAGAACAAGGTCCTGAGTTCAATCCCCGGTACCAAAAAAAAAAGAGAAAAGAATTGACAAGATTGGCTTCCAATGGCCACCCACAGAGTCATGTGTGGAAGAGTGCAAAAGGTCTGTTTGTGTGCTAGAGATTCGAAGAGTCCAGTGGAAAGTGTGAAGTCCATTGTACTGTGCATGAGTCTGTTATCAGAAGGCAAAAGGATCTTTAATAGAAGGCTGAAGAGTCCGTGCTGGAAACCAGGAGACAACGTCCAAGATGAAGGTGAACACTGGAGCCCCTCTGAAGAAACAAAAGTGAGCCTTCTTTCTTCATTTCCCTTTTATAGCATTCAAGCAACAAGCTACTCTAGGATAGGTCTTCTGTCTTCGGTAAATCCCCTCAGCCAGACTCAGAACTATGCTGATCCAATTTGGTTGGGCATTTCTTAGTCAAGGTGACAGGATCAGTTAACTATCACAACTATGGAGTCAACATGTAGTACAAAGACAATCAATGAAATATTATGTTTAAAGTATGTCCATACATGAAGATGGAGATGCAAACTAGCATTTCTTGTAATTTACTATTTGCATTTGTCATAAAAAAAAAACCTATGTACCTACCAGAAGAGTTGTCGATATAAGAAGTTTCCATGAATATCTCACTAAATTTAGAGGACCTGCTACTTTGTAGCATGTAGATGAGTGCAGGTAAACCCATCATAAGAAGGAGCAAGAGTAAGATCTAAGCCTTCTAGGTTTTGTGAAAAACATAGTGTTCTTATATTATTTATTGTCTAAATTAGGACAATAAACTTTTGAGAGTAAAATTTTTAAACTTTCACAATTGCAATAACACAAATCAAAACTGTCTAGGGGCACCTGGGACCTATAATCACTCATTATGTGACCTCATATATATCTGCTGCATGGAGGGTTAACTAGACTGGGCTCAGATAAATATGCCCAAAAGATAATATTAAAAATAGTGGTTGTCCTAATTAATTTTTGGTTTAAAAACCAGATAGCCAGGGGAGATACCTTTGAGACCTGTTATATCAATGTCCTGTAATAATTCCACTATTAGATAGTAATGATCCTAAACTGAAATATTCTTTTTCACTATTAAGAGAAAAGTATATAATAAAAACATTGGTTTGAAGTCAGACAACCTGTCTGAGTCCCTACCTCCCAGACTTAATGTTGGCATTTGAGCCTAGTTTTCCACATTCATAAAGTAGAGATGTTATCATGCCTGTTTCTAAAGATTATTCTGAATATTTAATGTGAAACAAATATCAATAATAATAACATTTTATAAACATCATGACTCCAAATGTGAAAGCTATTATTATTCATTAATAGGTACAAGTATGTTTAGATTTTAAGTAATGGTTCCGATTTTCATGATTTAATTTTTTCCACAATTCTGAAGTTTTTTTGTTTTGGTTTGTTTATTTGTTTTTTGAGGAAAAGTCTCACTTTGTAGTTCACTATGTAGCCCAGGTTGGCCTCTAACTCGTGGTGATCCTCTTGCCTCAGCCTCCCGAGCGCTTGAAGTTTGTATTCTTTATTTTTATTTTACCATATTGTGTGATTTAACCAATATGGAGGTATATCATGACAGAAATCACTGACAGCTATTTAAAGAAAGTGTGGGAAATATAAGTCAACTAATTTAGTTAGGTGCACAGCAAGGTGTTTGAATATGCTTAAAAGTCATCACTGGAGAAAGAAATTTTATAACAGTCCTGTCTTCAAAAGAAGATGAACCTTCCTAAAATGAATCTTTTGTCTACATTCTTGGACTGGAAGTAAGAGTTTATAGCCACCCCATCTCCCACCAATTATAACACCTGCTCACAAAAATTTTTGTGAATTCCTGAGAAAAGACTGCAGTTTGCTGGTTTTGAGCTATGGTTACTGAAATCTTAGATTGACCTTTGAATTTGATGTGGAATATTTTATCACCTGATAAACCTTGTGCCTTTGATATGTATTGTGGTATTGTGCTCATATCCCAAATATTTTTTCCATTCTTCCTTTTACCTGCTTAATTAAATTTCTAACTGTGTTATTATCTTTTCTGTCTGAAACCATGTCTTTCCATTATTATAGTTTAGTGGGTAAAACTGTTTTTCTAGCTTAAAACATTGGTTTTTCTCTCTTACTTCCTGCAGAAGCTTGGGAAAATTTCTTAACCCTCTACTGTCTCTCTTTTCTAATCTGTAAAATTGAAAAAGTAGTATACTCCTCATAGATTCTTGTGATGCTTTAATATGAGAATTATATGTAAGATGCTTGGAAATGTTTTGTTCAATAAAGGATCTAAAATGTTGTTATTTACATTCCTTCCACCTCCCCAAAATTTCCTAATATAATCCAATTCCAATTGATCCATATATAATTCAATCCATGGTAAAGAAATCTCCAACTATTCCAAAACTTCAGGTTCTTTTTAAGATTCAAACCTGGCCTTTTGAACAATTCTATTGTCTCTACTGGATCTTTAAATCAACATTGCTTATTGCTTACAATTGGCATGTTAGTACAGTGTTAAAGTTTTACTCCTTTGCCTCCAAAAAAGTTTCATTCCACTAAAATAAAATTTCTTCTTTAGGTTCATGCTATTATACTATTCCACCCTTCCATTTCAAATAGACACAATTCATTGCAACTGACTTTCAATCTTCCCTCATTCACAAATCCCACTATCATTCCAGATGATTGATCTATTCAATAACCTTGTTATATAATTTGTTGCCCTTTCTTAACAACAAACATACCTTATCTCTACTCCACCCAACAATATCTATGGTCATACCTTGGAACTGACTATTACTAACAATTACCCAACATCCCCAAATATACACCCAAATGTCTCTAATATAGTGCTATTGTCATCACATCTTTATGTTCAGCAAAACTTTTACTTTGACCTCATGAAAATATTTTACTAATAATTCTATTCTTCTCTGCATACCTCTACACTTCTTTCCCTCCTCTCCTCTTTCCTCATATTGATCTCTTGCTCTCTCTTGCCTCATCATTCATACAAAAGTTCATTACTTAGAGGCAGGGGATTTAGCTCAGTGGTTCCGCTGCCTGCCTCGCAAGCGCAAGGTCCCGAGTTTGATCTGCGGTACCAAAAAAAAAGAAAATCAATCCTTATCCCTCATTAATAAATGTATCTGCCTTGTAATAAATGATTTAGGACAAGGATGAAGGCTTCAGATATTCATCTACAAGGCTGGGTTTGTTGCTACAGATCACTCCCTCGATCCTTCCTGTTTCCCTGCCCATATGTGAGTGAATCAACTCAAATAGGAATAATTAGATAATCTCTTCTGGGTATTTAAAATTTGGTTTCAGAGATCTTTCTTAGTGGCTGATGATTGAACAGTCATACGTAAATTCAGCGTGGACATGGGAAGTATGGAAAATAACATTGGAACAGAAGTACCAAGGAAAGCAGAACTGAGAGCTCCACAGCCCTGGAAAAAGTGATAATGAATCTTCAAGAGTTTCTAGGTTCTGTTTCCATTCCCTAGAGAGACATGTTTCCTGTTCCGAGGTCTTAGGAGATATGACTGAACCTTATATTCTCCCATTTTGCTTAAACTAGTTCAAATGGGTTGCAGATAAACGCCACAACCAACAACAAAAAACTACTGTGATCATCAGCACTGTCCCCATTTCTACAGCATTACCTATTGGAATATAAACAACCTTGTACCACTCTCACCTTGAAAAACAGTACACCTCTCTTGAGTTTAAACTTAGCAGTAAACCCATTTCCAGCCACTGCCTACCTTCTGGGAAAAGCAGTTTAATTTCAACCTCCAATTACTTATCTTCTGTTTATATCTCAGCCACTTGAACTTGGTTTCTACTCTCAATGCTTCCATTTTCAATTCTTCATTTTTATTGATGTATCACAGCATTTAACATAGGTTGACTCCCTCCTTGCTTTTAAAACCAGCTCTTTCCTTTGTTCAAACATGCTACACTCTATACTAGACACATTCTTCTTTGTGAATCAATCTTGATGACACAGAATTGTAAATGTAGTCCTCACACCTCTTTTCTAAGCTCCAATCATATACATAAACACACATACATATATGATAATATAACCTAAACACTCACACACATGCATATGCACATGTAAATGCAGTCTTCTCTCTCAACAGTTTATTTAGGTTCTCAAACTCAAGTTTGCTCAAAGTTTTATTCTTCATCTTCATCTACAGCCTTCTAGTCCTTTGGAGATTTCTATCACCTTATGAAATAACACTGGCATCCAGTCACCCAAACCAGAAATCTCATCAATGAGCTTGAGACTGCTACAAAATCTTCCTAACTTGCCTACTTGTCTCTCCTATTGCTCACTTCCAAAGCAGAACTCAAATTATTGACAGAATGATCTTTCCAAACATACTTAATCACCCACCAAGTATCACCCTTGCCCATGATGGTTGCTAACAGAAGTGAGCTTGGAAAAAGAGTTTACATGATGGGCTGCCTAGCATATCTTTAAATATTTAAGAGGTATAAATGTAGGTAACTGTTAAGTAAAATAAATGATATACTCCTACCTGAACAATACCTTATAGTGAGAGTCATTCTATATTGTAAAGCTATGTTTTATATAATTATTCGGCAAAATGTCAAAGAAAACTGAATGAATTATTCCTGCCATGTCTAAATTTTTTGAGTTTGGATGACAACGGTTGAATAGGTGATGAAATGAATGTATACATAATTCAATAAGTGGTGTGTATTTTTAAGTAAAATGTATGTTTGTTTACTTAGTTTTATCAAAGTCACAAATTATGTTATTATTATCAGAACTTTCTTTTAGTCTGTATTCTATTGACAATAATATCATATCAGCAAACCTATTTTGAATTATGATAGCACATAAATAGTTTATTAATGACAATTTGGAGAAATATTTCTCAGATAAAGCGTTAGCAGCTGGAACAGGCAGTAATTCTTAGGGTTAGGCAAAAATAAGGAATAAATTTTACATATTATATTCAAACTTTAATGTGTCATCACATGTGATAAATTTTTGTTACAGTACATATTATAAAATATTTTAATTTTGGTTTATAAGCCACAATCACATCACACTTTTTGCCTTCTAAAGCAAAATCAAAATCTACACATTAATATAAAGACCATTCAGACCAGTCACATTCAGACCAGTTTTATGGTGTATGCTAAATTTTAAATAATTGAGTGATACATTGTTTAATAACACAAAACAATCTCCCATAGCCATACTTACTTGTTGCATATACCTTATTATGTTCTGAATGGCTCCATAATTGGAACACAATAAGAACAAAGAAAATGGTTGCTTGGCCCTACTGGAAACAATGAAGCAGTTTCAAGAATTTATTATATTTATAATATTTTAAGATAAGAATATGATAGGTTAATAAAGATTTGCCTTTTTCTGTTACCTAAATAATTTTACAACTCAAATTCTGCCCATAGTGACTGTCAAAAGTAATGTCTGTCTACAACATTAATAGTAGCACAACCTACAAACCTCCATGACTTTTGATGCAGTCACCTTCTGCTTTGAAAATGTATAGGAAAAAAATACGCGAAGAAACAGTTCTCTGGAGTATGAATGGGTTTAGCGGCATGAAGGAATGTTTAGGATTATGGGTTACACTAAGTCAACACTGAGAGACAGGTTATCATGACATAGTTTAGGGTGATCCACCTTCCTTATTTTGTGGGGACTGAGGACTATGCTTGAAATATAGATTTTTCAGTGCTAAAACTAAGAAAATGACAAGCAAACTGAGATGAATTGATCTTACCTCCTAAATGGTCTATATGTACTTTAACACAATTTTTGTATGTTTGTGATATAAATGGCTTCAAGCTAAGGATTTCTCTTGTCTATGTCTAAGGGTGATACTATGTCACTACTTCATTTAAACTGCTTTGATCCTTGGCCTCAACAATGTAGTGATAACATCTAAAACAGCTAAGACGTTGCATATAGATCTCGTTACTCCTTCCTGTCTCACTAATCTATCATCACACCTTCAATCAGCAGCTTTGCCCTTTACTTAACCTCTCATACTTTCCAAGCTTGCTATGAACTATCACATCCTCATATCTCTGACAATGCTCTTATATTTTGGAAATATTATTGCTCTAATTCACTCCTATATCATGTCTTTTATTTTTGAAATGCCATCTCAAATATCACCTCTTCAGATACCATCCCCAGTCTCATTACAGCATAGTTCTTAACAGCAAATTCTGAAATCACTCTGTTGTGTTCAGACTCTAGCACTGTCACTAATAATCATGTAATTCTGGGTAAATAATTTAGTCTCTCTCTGCCTCAATTTCTTTATTTATAAAATGAAAATTAGATTATCTTCTCATGAGGCTGTTGTGAAAATGAAAATTTGAAACCCTGATAACCATGTCTACTAGAGAAAATATTTTAAAAATGTTAATGAAGGCCAGGGATTTAGCTTAGTGGTTCTGCTGCCTGCCTTGCAAGTGCAAGGACCCAAGTTCGATCCCTGGTACCAAAAAAAAAGGAAAAATGCTAATGAATTATATCACCAACCAGCTACATGATTAATACATTTGGAATATATATACAAATATATATATATACATATCAAATGCATATATATACATATAAACACATATATATATTCATATATATATATGAATGCCTAGAGAGTTTTCACTGTGTAAGAGATTTACAAATCCAAATGGAATAGGAATAAAAGAACTGATTCAGATTTAAAATTTTACCTCAGAAATTTCAGTGACCAGGACCTTGGTCTAAATTAGGATTCTGTAAATGATCAGATTCAGATATTGTCATTTGGAATTTAAAGCAAAACTTTAGAGAATTCAGAAATAATCATTTAGATAAAAAGGTGGTTGTCATTATTTAAAAGAAATATCCTGTAAGTCAGAAACTGATTCTTCAATTTATGAGGACAAGAACTTAATTTCAGTCAGCAGGGCAAATGAACAAAAGCAGAGGAGAGTGACATTACCATTCAGAGGTATTGATCATCTACCATATGTCAGTACCTGTGCTAAGGTTGGATTCTGATCAGAACTCCTGACCTGAACAGGAACTGTACTATGTTCAGAAAGGGCTCAGTGTTAAGAGGTATGTGTCTTGAAACAGGCAGGCTGTCTTCCCTAACTGGCGATCCTGCATTCTGGACTTTATTTGCACAAAGGCAGAAAAACTGAGTAGTATGAGAGTGCAACAAATGTTCATAAGTTACTGGGTTTGGGGAGTAAGAATTCGCCTTTGGCAGTTAGATTGTTCCCTGCTTTGGTGAAGATTGTCCCTTACTTTGGACTAAAGTAATTGTAAAAGAGAAGGCATTATTGGACCCAGATATATGGAGCAGAGACCTTTTAAGTAGTTGTGTCAGGACTTCAATCCAGGTCTGAATTCTGAAAATTATGTTTTTACCATTTTTAAAATATTCCAGAGATCATCAGTGGGTGAAAATAAATTTGTTTTAGATACTAAAAATGGGGCAAATTGTACTTTTACTAAGCTCCTTTTCAACAATTTTTTATTGTAAATTTGGAGACGTTTCTACCACTACTGAAAGGGAGGCCATCAGGCATCAACACATCAGAAAAGAATGTAAACAGTTATTTCATTTTAGCTTTATGAAATCTCTGTAAGCTAGGGCAGGATGTTATATATTATGGCCTCCACATTCCCCATGTATGAAAAATGAAGCACATTGGGGTCAAGTAATTTGTCAAAGGTCACCTAGCAAGCTGGTGAGACTGTCACTCTTCCAATACGATTTCCACCAGACCATGTTAAACCTTAAAGGTCATGGATACACACTTGTTTCCAAGTCTGAATTGCAGTTTGGAGCATGAAACCAGGTGACTAATGGAGAAATAGTGTTTGGATACTATGTTGTTGAGATTGGAAGAAATGGCCCTATTTAAGCCAGTGACTGAAACTGAGGGAATAGCCTGATGGAAGACTTAATGTTCCAAAGCCAAGTGTTCCTTGCCTGTGTCAAGATACATGCAGTTTAACCTCAACAGTAAAGAGGGAAACATCTGTTCAGTGGAGCTGCTCCAATGTAAGGCAGATGAGGAAAATAGTTGATTATAACACTGACATTATCTACCTAATTTCACAAAAATACACTATTACACAAGAACAATTTTCCAGGTTATAAAAGTTACTGGATTAACCAGGTGGCATTGTTGGAATCAAATATTGCTTTCCACTTTGCACAGTAGATATTTAAATGTCAATAGATTATTCTTCCAAGTCTCTTTCAGTTCTGTGGCTTATGGAAATGTTTATTGACACTCTTACCCAACCTGCAAAGACTGGAACTTCGTATGTAGTAAGCTTACATAGGAATGTTTTATGTTTCATTTATGCTTAAATTCTGACTGAAGAATGATCATGGATATACTTTTTATATTTTTATATCTGATCCAAGGAGATTTCTTTTCTAATCTGTTTGCATGGGTCAGCAGGTAAATTTCTTTTAGGAGAACTTCTTTGTTTACTAACCCAAGAAATCTAAATAACTGGTCTATGTGAAGGGGTAGAAGTCATATGCCTGTCATCCATGTCTTTCCCTGGTTAGTGTCCTATTCTTCATCCATGTTTGTGTCCCTATTTGCCACATAAACCCAGAATGATGAATACAGTTACTGCACTAATAGGTGTCCTATACTGCATTCCTCTTCATAATGAGATATTTTATACTGTCAGACAAACTGATCCATTCATGACCCAGCATGAGTGTGAGTGTGACACTCAAGCTCCAATAAAGACTGAGGTGAATTCTGAGCTTTCTCTGAGTTAGATTATTAAGATTACTTTGAGTACAATAAATTTGAAATAAATTACTATGACATCTCAGTCTCCTAAAATATTCATTTGCACAATAAGTAAATAAACCTCAAAACTAACCAGAGATTACTTCTATATTTTCATATCATTTATTTCATATATTTATTTCCATTTTCATGGACAATTGAGGGACTAGAGTCTTTTGTACTAATGCTATAACTTAATAAATTCTACATTTTACTGAAACTAAAGTCAACCTATTATAATCCATCAAAATGAATCATGTATGTATGTGGGACAGAGGTGATATTAGATGAAAGCATCATCTAATGGTCATGAATTTCATGAATGGTCAATAGCCTTTAGTGATATACAGTGAGAATTCCTTAAAGACATGTATACACAGACACCAAAACAAAAATTCACATAAACCTGTATGTAAGAATGTGCATATGTATTGGGGAAAATGAACAGGGCATCAGGAAAGAGAGGTGCTGTTTGGGTTTATTTGGGCACTGATTCTGACTCTGATTCCCTTTACCACCCTTTTTGATAATGTGGTTATGGAGTTCAAAATAAACACTTACCAAAACAGAAGTTCAGAGCTTATTCTGTACCTTCTTTCACAGTGGTGGCATAAAGCCATATATATGAAAGAACTGAACAGTGGCAGCTACTGAATATCTTGGATTTGATGATACTGCTCTGTGAGATATTCACTGGCAATGGGGTGCTCCCATTAAGGATTCTACCTCCTAAAGGAACCTACCCTGATTTTAATTATATTCTGTATTATTGGCCAAATGAATCTTAATCTGATACCCTTTAGAAATCTTACATGTACCAAAAATAAAATACGTGGGCCAAAAATTGCGAATATTTGTCTAACAATCAATGAGACACAGGAGAACAATCTTTCTGACCAAGTACTTAGTGTACACAAATTCCTCCCACCACCCTGCATTTATTCTGTAAAAGACTCCAAGTGCATTTCGATATTTTCAGTTCCCTGGTGGCTAAACACCAAAAATAAAAGCACACTAGTTTTTCTTGTCTTTATCACCTATGTTTTGTCAATAATTAATATATACCTACAAAACTAACATCAGTATAGATATATTCTTTGGTATAAATTTAATGCAAATTAAGAGCATTTTTGTTTTATCTTATTTAAATTTTCATATATTATATATATCACCACAAAAACTAAAATATTCACCTTATGAAATATTTTCTCCATCTTAACTACAAAATGACTTTCACTTTCATCATCACTTTCTAGATGAGAAAACCAAAATAAATGAACAAATGTTCTACAAGTGAGCAGCTATCAAAAGTGACCAACATGGAACTTGAGTATGGCCACACTGATGCTACAAACCCATATGTTTTCTACTTACACATTACTTACTGATTCTTTCATCTGTTCTCATCCACAGAAAGTGAGAGTTTCTCATGCACAGAATGTGCATTAGTGGTGATGGAATTTCTTCTAGGAGACAGAGAAACCCACAGTAATGGATTAAAAGGTGAGAATTTATTCCTCTCTTCCCCAAAAGTCCCTGTTGATATCAGAGCTTTGCTCTCTGAAACTATTGATGGTTCACACTTCTGTCTTTCTTCACCATTCTCCCATTCTTGAGTGCTAATCCTAACTTTATGTCCAAAACTGGCTGCCAAACCATTTGCATTTGGTCAGTGGAGAAATAATCATGAGAAGTCACACTTCTCATTAATGGGAATAGTTCTGCTCACATTCCCTTGGACACAATTTAGTTACATGGCCACACCTGGCTGCAAAACAGTCCTGCTTTCTAGGGGCCACATGCCACAGTCAGTAATAGGTTAATAAGAGAAAGAAGGAGAGACTCAATGTCTGCCATATAATGAAAGATAAATTTTAGATTATTTGAATGTTGCCTTAAGAGTCCCCACTTGTGTGTTTAATACTATTTCCAGTAAAAATCTTTTTTTTTTTTTTGTACCTGGGATCAAACTTGGGACCTTGCGCTTGCACAGCAGGCGGCGAAACCACTGAGCTAAATCCGCTGCCCTCCAGTAAAAATCTTAAAGTGAGAAAGAAAAATTTTTAATGTAAATTCTATTTAAGAATTAAAGCAATCATTTCAACTAGGCTAATTTTAATCCCTTAGAGTTTACTTTAATGGTTTGTCACCTATCTATTGCATGAGTTTCATAGATAGAGGATTATTTACAATATCTATTTTAGTCTTTTTTTTTAGAACATCCCATTGAAACTCATGTACATTTAAAATTTAAATAAAGAATTTCAGTTCTACTTAGAGCATGGGCTGAAAAGTCCAAAAACTGGTAACAGCCATTTTGTACTATGTGTGCTATGAAATCTTTCAGGAACAGTAGACTACTCTTTATTTAATTTGAATATCTAAATGTGTTGTACTCTTGGAATAGCGCTCAATCATCAAGAACTATTTATGGGTAGGAAAAAATATCTTGCCAATGGGCCATAACCAGGTTAACTGGGCATGCATTCTTTCTGGATTCCTACTTTTTTTTTTCAATGAAAATACAAAGAGGCAGTATAGCATCTTGATGCCAAAATGTAAGACTTTGCATTTTTCTATTTCAAATTTGCTTTCACATGAAATTAGCTAGAAAACAGATTAAATTTTCAGGTAATACATTCCTCTGAACCACACATTTTCTGGCTTTCATTTATGGCACAAAGCAGTTTCCTGTGCATGTGTGTTTATTTTTCTGTTAATATCACTCCAATACCTTCCTTTTGAGCATCACTTTAACATACAACTATAGGGATTTTCTGACTCAACCATGGACAAAGAATCTGAAGGGGCAAGATTCTTCAGGCTCAAGATTGACGTTAAGATTTACATCAAGAATTTTTCTTCTCTATCTTTCCTTTTTACAAACAACTACTTCAGAATTTTGTATTTTAATTTTCTCAAATGATTCTCACCTTTCCCAATGCATTGTGCTTAATCATTTTTGGCTGACTGATATTGGATGTAACTATCACATAGAGTGAAAACTGTGGAATAAATGGAGGCATCATTTGTACTATAAATTGGAAATTGAATTTAGAGGGTATTATTGGAATATTTTTGTTTTAATATAAGTCTATTTGAAGCCATACATACTGTTTTAAGCTTGCAAACTTTCTAAAACAGTCATAGTTAGGGTAGTCTGGCTTGGCCTGATCTCTATTTGGATGGAATAGGGAAAAAGTAAAGATACAAAACTGTAAAAATTTTATGTTTCTAAGGTCTTGAAAACTGGTGTTTCCAGAATTGTCCTGTTACATTCTTAGCTACTGTGTAAATGCCTATATTGCTAAGCACACTAATGCTTAAATGTAAACAGAAAATTTTCTCCCATACTTCCTTCCTCTAGTCTATCCTCAGAGCAGCTGCAGAAGATCTGTTTGAAACTCAAGATGTGCCATTCTTCTGCTCAAAATATTGCAACAACTCTGCATTTCAGTCTCTTCTGCATACACCCCTAAAGCTCTTGGTTGATTTCTTACTCTCTTCTACTTTCCTGACTCAGTTCCAGCCACACTTTCCACCTTGCAGTTCCTTGAACATAACACATACCTTTCCATCTCAAGGCTCTTGTTTTTGTTCTCATCAGCTTAAAAAATATTTCTCCCAGATACATCTACTCATCTAACACTTCATCACTTTCTTCAAGTTTCTGCTCAACTATCAACTTCACAATGAGAACTTCCTGGACCATTTATTTAATTTACTCTCTACTCAGAATTCAAACAGACTTCTTACCTTGCTTTTGTCTTTTTAAATAGCACTTACAATCTTTTCAAACCTATAAAATTTTCCTACTTATTGTGTTCATTGTTGATTGTCTATATCTTACATGGTCAGTTCCATTAGCTCAAGAGTCTTCGATATATTCACTGTGTACTTAAAAAAAATGGTGCCGGATACAATGAAGCTGCTTAATATAAATTAGTTGAATAATTGAAGTTGATGATCTCCTACTCCTAAACACTCTATCCATTCTTTCTTTCAGTGTATCTGTTTGTCTCTTTCTCTATCATGTATCCATACACTTATACATATAATACCTCTAAAAATAACTCATCCATTCAATATTTCAGAACCTGACCAAAAAGATATGCAGCTAGAAGTAGCAGATGACCCTTGTTATGGCTTGGTTATGTCCTCCAAGGTATGTTCCCCAGGGTAGTACCCTCAGGAAGGTGGTAGAAGCTTTAGGAGATCCTTAGATCACTGGGTTATGCCCTTGAAGGGACTGATGAGACCATAACCTCTTCTTTCTGTTTGCTTCCTATCTTATAAAATGAGCAGGTTTTGCTTCGATATGTTCTTTACCATTGCCATCAGGTACTCACCCCATCTTTGAGTGGTACCACCAAAAGTATGACTTAAATAAAACTTTTCTATTTATAATTTCACCAAATCCAGTATGGTGTTATTGTGATAGAAAGCTGACTAATAAATACATTTAGCTTCCTATGGGTTCTGGTGACTGTAGAGTCTATTGTTGAAGTAAAAAAAAAATAAAATCGATAAGAGAATAAGCCAAGACTTCTTATCCAGAGCTTGCTGTGTCAAGGGAGTAAGCTACCAGCAGTGTTTTAGCAGAGAGAAAAGGCAGACAAAGAATAGGGAAGCTTACACTGGAAAGGGGGAAAGCTTCAGGATGCTGCAGTGGGAGGCTGTAGGCAGAAAGAAGATGAAGGGGAGCGAATTAGAAGAAGTCTTCCATATAATTGCTTAGCAGCACAAATTTATTTTTCTCTGGGCTATAAATTAGAAGTGGGAATAAAAATTGAGAAACTTTCAGTTATCAATTAAATTCAAGACATTTTGATTCGATTATTACTGTTTGGCTTCTTAGATTGTTATTGGAAGCAGCAGTTCCTGTAAGTTTGCCAGGCTGTCTTTGTGGGCTGATTAAGGTAGGCAAAGGGTTGATTTCCTGTGCTAACTCTTTCAGGGTGCGACTGAGTTGTATTTTATAAATGATATAAACATTTTCCATTTGTATAGTCAATATTTCACTATGAGCAAAAACAAACACAGTTGTTTTCATTTTATTTTCTATTTTGAAATATTTTATTGCTATATGTTTGTGATGTATAATAATTATATTTGTTTTGGGAATTGATATATATATAGAGAGAGAGAGAGAGAAAGAGAGAGAGTACCTTGGTCATTTTTTATTACCTTTCCCTCAACTCTTTTCTCTCCATCATTTTCCTGTTTCCCTTTCAAAAAAAAATGGATTAGCAGTACTATGTACATCCCTACCAATAAAATTAATTTATTGCTTTCTAAATAATCAGTTCTAGCAACCATCATTATTTATGCAAATCTCTAGGCTCCAGAATCTTAGAGAGTTATTTGAAATCTGAAAAAAAACACCTCACAGTGTAGTCCTTCCTTCACTGGCCAAATTGAGGTTCTTCTCATTTGATTATAGAACTTTGGGAAGGTAAGACACTCAGCCATATTTAGGGATGATGTGAACATTCACTAATCAGGCACTTGGCTAAGAGCAGTATTCATTGGATTCCGCCACCTATTCTTATTTTGCTTCAATCTAGCTTCCACATTAAAACTATCAAAATTCATGCAAAATCTACGTTAAAGACAGATTTTGATGAAGCAGTATCCCATTTTGTCTTTTCACTCACTTATAATTGATACGAAGGTAAAGTATGAAACTGTTAACACGGGGAACAAGACCTTTGACAGCTTGTCCTTGTCCACTTCCTCATCTTTTGAACCCAAAACACTTCTTTGGTGCTCCAGTCTCTCTGGTCATAGACCCTTGGACTAGAAGTTTCCTCAAACCCCACAGCATTTTCCTGCATTTTTTCTTGCATAAAGCTTTCCCCTGCCATCATTTTGCTTAGCTAAGTTAGCCTCACACTTTAGGTGTCGACTCAGGCTTTAACTGTCTTACTAGCTTTTATCTCCCTGTATATCGCCCTCATAGCTCTAGGTTCCTTTATGTCCTAACATTTTTATTTGTTACTGAGAATCACATAAATGTTATTTCTGTCATCTCCACCAAACTGAAGCTTTGGAAAGAAGGGAACCATTTTAATTTCTACATTTTTTGATCTAACAAAATATCTGTCACATAATTATAGTCAGTAATCATTTGCTGAATGAAGAAATTAATGAATGAGTGTTAAGAATACTCAAATAAGTGAAATAGTGCCAGGGGCCTGGAGAGGTTCACAGTCTAGGCAGGAGTTAAGATGAAAAATACTACATAATAACCTATATAATATGATGAAATAAGGAGGAAGAATTACTTCCAAGAATTTAGGGCCATCTTCTCAAAAGTGCTTTTTGAGTTGGGGTTAAGAGTAGGATTCGTTGGGGCCCAGGATTTAGCTCAGTGGTTCTGGCACCTGCCTTGCGAGTGTAAGGTCCTGAGTCCGATCCCCGGTACCCCAAAAAAAAAAAGTAGGATTTTTAGTTGTTGAGAAGTGAAATCCATGACACTCTCTTATCTGTCATTCCTGTAA